CATCTGGAGAACCAAAACATTGGATTAGTTATTTTTATATCTAAACTAGGTGAATACCTTCGTATACGCGCCAATTTTTTTTTCATACATGATTTCTTCTAATTTGTATTGACGAAAAGAAAAAAACTATATAAAACCATAATTTTTTTATAAAATAAAGAGATATTTGACAAAAAATGAACTTTTACGATTCATCCAAGTACTCGTGAATAAATTCATAGGCAAAATCAAGGTTTAGATGCAATTTTAGACACCGTCGTCAGAGAAACCAAAATTGTGTCTCGTATTCTCATGGATCAGACTCGCAAGAGCCTTTTCATCATTGAAGGTCATCCTTAATATTCGACAGCTATCAAATAGATTCTCGTACTTTTTGTCTCCGCTTTTTCCTTATATGGTTTCCATATATTTTACCCCAAGAGATTATTCAGTTTCGTGGCTCTCATCTTTGATATTTTAGGTATAAGATTAAGTATATTCACTATTTTTTTCTCCGTGAACATCAAAAGACCTAATTTTAAGGAATGTAGAGAATCTAAGATGGGCATATGCGAAAAGGTAAACAACATTCCATTATAATGTGTGTAGTTTTGTTGATAGAACCAACATGCTCAGAAACTTTTACATCGGGTAATGTCTTGAATCTTTTGAGATTGATGAAATATTTGTTGACTATGTATCACCTACAAGTGTCTACCTTCTGGTATGTCTCTCACCAACACATGTTTATGTTCCTGTTCCTCGATATCCTTTGAGGATTTCGATTCATTGTTACCGTAGTCCTTTCTTACACTTGTATTGCTTTCACTGATTCTGCAGTTTCCCTCTGATGTTTAACTTATTTCATGTTTTTAGATTGATGAGATCTAGTTTCTTCATTAGTAGTGATCTCTGCATCTTCTACAATGCCTCATAGTTTTTGATTCTTCTTTTTCGCATCTTGCCTTGGTTTCACATCTATTTCACATCGGTTTTCATATATTCCTTTATCTTTTTTTTTTGGTAGTTTGAATATAGAATTTCATCATTTGATTGTATCAATGATAATCAATAAGATGATCCAAAATGGAGTTCGAAAATTCATATATGTTAGTATACAAAAGAGATTTAAGAATGTCTCTCCGTAGTATTGGTATATTCTTGATAATTGTTAGAAATGAACTAAAGATTTTAAATCAATTAGTTAATAACGATAGAGAAATCGGTACTATTATGCGTTTGGGTGATATCCATAGCTTATTTGGTTTGAACTGATTGTTGGATCTGGTTCACCTGAAACCCTAAATCCCTTACATTTTCAATTACTCTACTTTTTAGAATTTTTTGATGTTATTTAATTTTCAAAAATTTTGGAATTTTACAAATCAATTTTTAAAAAAAAATTCAAAACTGGAACTATTTTTAGTTTTTATTTAAAATTAATTATTATTTAATCTAAGTTTTTTTGAATTTATATGGACTACTTTTTTGGTTTTTTTTAACTTGTTTTTGGAATTTTTGTTTTTAAATTATTATTTTTGAGAAAAATTTATAGTTTGACCCAAAAAAACAAATTAAAAAAATGATCAAAAACACCACTTTATAGTTTTTATCATGTTTACATATAATTGGTGTATGTCACCATGTGTTACGTATTTTAGTTTGTATAGTTTATAATGCATTTCTATACTTAGGATGGTTAGCAACATATTAGCCAATAGTTCATGTAGCTGGGAATGATTATTATTTTACAATTCTATTAAGATCTACTGTTACTAACGGATGAATTTCTTAAAATTTTACTCTGTAAACAAAACTTTCTGAATACCTAGATGAAATCAATAAACAAAACTTTCCAGTTACCACCCCTGCCATGTGATCTACTTACCCAAATTTAATACACTTGACTTTATACTTATTTTATAACTAATTATATAGCATTGTTTTTTATGGGATCAATTCCTAAAGTAGTACAATTGATTTGATATGCAGTTGCAATTTTTCTTTGTTTGTCTTTTAGGATAAATCTTGATACACATCAAAACATTGGTTACTCGTTGTAAGAATTTGTATATTGCTTGAAACTGTAAATTGTTGCAATATGCAAACTCTTGAAATATGTTAGTTGTAAGAATCTTATAGTTGTTACAATATACAATTAATTACGGTTGGCGAGCTGCGAAGTGGTTGCAAAGAATTGGTTGTTGCTTATTTTCGAGTTATGTCGAAGTCCTTGCTATTGTTGTCGCTTAGGGGCTTTTCCCTCTCTCCCTATCCATGTTGATTGGGTGCGTTGTGTATGTTGATTTTAGTATAAACACGTTATTTGCATGCGCTCAGTTTCATTTTGATGTCAATATGCTAGGATCTTTTACTTGAATAATGTTGTTCTTGGTTTGTTGATTTCTTTCAAGTGATACCGTCATAGGTCACCTCGGTTAAATTTATCCTTTCAGGATATATTTTATGTATTATGCCCTTAATATGGTGCCATCTATAGAATGCACTTAAACCATAATTCATTTATGATATGTTTTCGGTACATACAATATGTTTAATTTGAAGTCATACAGATTATGCGTTCCCTTGCTTGGCATGAACCTTATTGAGTTTGATTCTATTATTCATATTTGATTATCGCGAGAATTCAAAAGTTCATGCATTTAATGTTGAGATTCTTACATGTGTGAGATATAACTGTTATTTATTGTCCACGTGCCAAATATGATAGAACTAGTTGTCCAACATATAATAAGTTTCGCATTGACAAGTTCTAATTGAAGTTGGCCCTGCTATCGATTGTAGATAGAATATTATTTTTACAAGTTGTCGCTATATCATATCTTCTACCTACGCATTTACATGAGTGAGATTTTGACTATGATTTATTATCCATGTTCCAAATATGATAGAAATAGTTGTCCACCATATCGTAAGTTTCATATTGACAAGTTCTAATTGAAGTTGTCCCCGACATTGAGCCGAAATTTTATATAGAATACTATGCAAACTAATCAA